GTCATTAAATTTAATTACAAGTACACTTCAGGAGACCCTCAATCTTACAGCTTATAGTTTCAAACTGGAGAGAGTCGACAATATTTGACAGGAAATAATAATAATATTATACATGGCAAAGCTGCGCAACACAAACTCTGGTCAAATTTTAGGGTTTTGAAGACAAAGGATAAGAGTGATGTTGAGGGTCAGGCCCTCCTGGTGAAAACCTATCTACTTCGTTTTGGACGGAAAGCTCTCGGCCAATACGCTTTAGTTCAGAGACATTGTAACCTAACCGTTGCAAAAGATCGTTGCTCTCACCATCTTCACTCTTTGAATTAACCCCAAGTATCCTTCCTTCCATTGCAATTACCAATAGAAATGTGAGCATAACAAATAACAATAACGCTTTAGAAGCCATATTGAGAGTGATGTTGAAACAAATGAAATTAAGAAAAGATTAGTGGTTGGGGTGGTGTAGTGACCAAGCTCGACTGTGGAAGAGATGATTGAGAAGAAGCTTAAGTGAATCTATTTATAGATAAAAGAATGGAAAGGATAAAAAAGATATAATAATATGCATATATAGTGGCCACTAATTAGTTAAGATACCAACGAAATATGCATAAGATAGCTCAGTGGAGTTGCATATATTATGTATATGATATATATATATATATTTTTTTTCCTTCTAACAACTTTTATTTAACCATATCAAATATCATTGTTTACAACTTCAACAAGGAACATTGGACATGAATGGTACAGACACCATTCGGATGACATACCTTAATTTATTAGTCACTCTGTTTATATCTTATCTTCTTATTCTGCTATTTTTTTTTTCTATATATAGAATCACTTAACTTTCCTTTTTAGTCGTATCATCTGGTAACGAGTTCACACTCTTAAATACTACTCATCTTTGTATACAAAAAATTTCTTCTTTGTCAACCCCTATTAAGAATTATCTCTAAAGGAGAAGTACAAATGTAAATGGGTCGGGTCAAAATCAGAAAATTGACCCGAAATTCTGAAATCGAATCTTTGAAATTTTTTTGGAATATAAATTCGAATTAATAATGAAAAATTGAACTAAAATCAAATGTTTATGGAAATCAAATAAAATTTGATTTTACTTATGGTAACAAATTATAAAATCATATTTCGAACAATATTATACATTAATTACGTATAATATATTTGTTTATATACTTTTGGAACTAATTCCATAACAATTAACGTTTTTCTCATTAATTTTGCTTATTTTAGCCAGTTATCATTAATTAAAAGATATCTTACTTGCTTCTAGAGATTTCTAAAAAATTTATCACAACTAACCCATCTATTTTATAAATTAAATAAATAGATATTTTTATTTTGGTTGTGTAAATTAAATAGATATGAAATCTATGTAACTAATTTTAATTTAATTAGATTAAATCAAAATTATGGTATTTTCATACAATCATACTTATAGTTTACCAAAGAAGTTTAATTTTCAAATTATAAAGATTTCTTGAATATGATTTTTAGAATTATTCAACAAGATGATAAATATTTATTAAATTTTGTGAATCATGAAAAATATTAATTGTTTTTAATCATTATATTTCACCTTTCAATCTCTCACCTAACAAATAAGATACATATTCTATAATTCCTATGTCCAAACTCCATTGAGTTGTATGACTAAATAATATTTCTATTAGAGCTGTCAAAACGAGTTGATTCGTCCCGTTAAGCCTGTTTTGCAATAGGCAAAATATAGTTTGGCATGTAGTTAGTCTGTCTGCACGACCCGCGGGTAGCATATATGAAACACAACTCCGTCGCGCGAATGTATGCTGATTTGTGGAGTTATCCGTGGATTTTGTTTAAATAATGAGTAACCAAAATTTAAAATTCTACTAAAATAAATAAATTAAAATGTTTTTAGAGAATATAATCTTATATATCATTATATTTATAAATATTATAATTTCATTTATTAAAAGTTTTTTAAACTACCACATGTTGAATAAATTATATTTTTATCAATAAATACTATCATGCGGGTTGATCCGCCAACCCCCGGACGAAAACCGATGATCTACTGCGAATCAATCTATGTGGCCCGCTTATTTGCGGTTTTAATATATTTTCCCAAATCTGGCCTATAGTGAGATGATTTAGACTCGACCCACGGTTTTTGACTGCTTTAATTCCCATGATTCGTCTAATTTTTGAATTCTAAAACACAAAATTCCATTTTTTAAATCATAATTAATACGATTGGTTTAATTATAAACAATTTAATATTTTCTTTACAATTTGTTATTAGGAATATTTATAAGTACATTACACGATTCGTTTTACTAAAAACACGCACAATATTAAAATCAATGTATGTAAATCAATATTCTCCCGCGGTGGACCGCGGATCCGATCCTAGTAAAGTTTAAAATTAATACTCGTGTTGAAAAAAAGAAAGGCAAGCCAGTTAAAAAAATGGAACAGGTGTTTATTAATTTATAGTTAATGATGACTTCCCCAAAGTATGTGAAGTAGGAAGTTCTTATAAAAGTGGAGAGAACATCTTTTTTTTTTCTTTCTTAACCACACATTAATTAATAAATAATTCATTAATGTGTTATTGGTTTGTGATTTATACTAAGGGGGTGTTATTGGTTTGTGATTTATATGGAATTTTAGTGACTTGAAATGTTATGAAAAATCTTTTGTATTCAATTAAGATTTTATAAGACTCTCTTAAACTTTGGTGTTATTAGATTCTGATTTGTAAAAAGTAATCTAAAGTCTTCATAAATCTTGAGTTATTGGATTCATACTTTAATAAAGTCATTAAATTTTTTGTGTTATTCAACTAAAACAAAAGAATCTATGATTGTTAATGATTTAAATTATTGTGTTATTGGTTTATGATTTTATACATTTTTCTTCATAAACTAAAATCATGAAAAGTATCATAAAAAAAGAGATTATGAATCATGACTTTGTATATAAACAAACCAATGATAAACCATCGTGAAAAATGACCACAGATTTTCACCAGCCTTAAAACCTCACGACACATCATTTTATCCGATTCTACAAACACCATTCATTTCATAATTTTGGTGTGTGAACTCTGGAAGAAGAGACCACTCTCATCAACCATGAACCATAAAAACTCCACCGCTCTTTCTCTCCCTCAATCATTTGCATCTCTTCCTTAATTCTCTCTTCCCATCTTCTTCATCATCATGCATTATTTGTCACATCATCATTATACTAGCTGCCAAGTCATTCTTCTTCCTCTTAATGTGACGTGGAGATTCGGAGATGTAAGCTTTTGGAGATATGTTATAATAAAAGATGGAAATACTGTCCAAGTTTATAATATTTAGACAGATTTTATAAGATTATAGAAAAACTAATCACAGAGATTATACAAAACTCTCTAGTAATCATTTAAACTCTTTAAAACTCTTTAATTTTACCTACTTTCTATACTTTTTAAAAGTCATTAAAACTCTTCCAAAGTCACAAACCAATAACACCCCCTAAGACTCAGGACCCCCGCGATGTCGCGGGAGAATATATTTCAAAAATCATTTAAAAAAATATCAAACGAAAAAATCATAATGAATTGTAATAATTTTGAATTTTTTAATAACAAATCAATATATATTTTACAAAAATTATGATAAAGAAAACCCCACAAGCATTTATTAAGTATATTAATATTAGAAAAACAATAATTTGTAACTAACAAACTATTCCCAAGTGCAAAAAGCATAAACTAATAAACCAAATATTACAATGGTTTGATATATATGCCAAAACGTTCAACGTCAAATAAACCAAATGCTATTGTGTTAAATTAAACGGTAGCAACAATTCATTTAAATATATTTTAGTATTTAAATATTTTTTAAAAATATGACGAACTTATCCGAAAAACGCAACCGTAGATATCAAATATTCCAAAAACTGCAACGGTTCGTCAATTATACCAAATATTGCAATAGTTCATCAAATATACTAAAGATAATAATGGTTCGTAACACAAAACCAAAAGTTGCAATAATTCGTCAAATAATTCAAATGTTGAAACAGTTCAATTAAATAGTTACAATCTCATTTAAATACATTTTAGTAATTAAAAATTAAGAATTAAAATAATAATTTATGAAAAGTTACACAGAGAGACGCGGCGGTAGATAATTAAATGTTACAGCTATTTATAAAATAAACCAAAAATTGCAATTGTTCG